GAGACAGGAGGGGGGTCTCCCCCCACTAGAGACAATCTACTTAAACCCCTGGGAGACCCCTCCATTTTGTCTTCAGCTGGCTAAAGAGAGAGCCTCTCCATCCCCCAGGATACCGGAAAGAAACTGGAACAAAGGACAGTAACTACAGGGATGGGAGTGATTGCTGGACCCAGACTAGCAGGAGACTAGTCTGTAAAAGGAAGCTTACTGGAATTCCTCTAAGGGTGAGGTTTTTATCTGTACTCAGTTTTATTACTGTATTAAGCTTAGATTTGCGTGTTTTATTTTATTCTGCTTGGTAATTCACTTTGTTCTGTCTGTTACTACTTGGAACCACTTAAATCCTACTTTCTGTATTTAATATAATTACTTTTTACTTATTAATTAACCCAGAGCAAGTATTAATACCTGGGGGGTGGGGTGGGGGGGCAAGCAGCTGTGCATATCTCTCTATCAGTGTTATAGAGGGTGAACAATTTAAGAGTTTACCCTGTATAAGCTTCATACACTGCATTTATACACTGCTCTGCCTCTGGGAGGGAGACAGGGAGGCCGACTGAGCTCCCAAGAGGTTCCACTCCCCATCCCCGCAGGGCCTTTGCCCCGGGTTTCCTTTCCGGCGTCCGGGCAGTGAGGCTGCAGGGAGGGGGCATGAGCGGATCGCTCACCTCCTGCAATGCCCGACACGATAGACGCGATTCCAGAGGCAGGGGATCCCCGCAGCCCCTCGATGGTGCGCTTGGACTGGTTGTTCAAGCGCTGCTTTAGCTCCATCTTTTCCGATTCCAGCTGGTCAATATCAGCCTGAAGAGCATCCATGGTCTCCTCAAACTCCCTGCAGGGGGAGAGAGAAGCCACCAGCCAAATGAGAGACGCCCCCCGGGGAAAGGAGACACAGCTCAGCTGGCAGAATTCACAGCCTCTACCCAGCAGGCTTTGCAGGATCTCATCAGGTTCGGTAACTTCCAGCATCCTCCCCCGTCCATACGCTCCCCAGCCAGCTCAGGCCTTTTCACTCACGAGAGGGGGAGGCTAGTCTGTTCTGCAGGCAAAGATCTCACGCGCAGGAAGCGTTTCCTGACAATCAGCCCTCCGTCCCTTTCACTTTATCCTGGTTCTAGCTCCATCAGGCTGACCATCGCTCTCTCCCTGGGAGTTCACACCGCACCAGCACCGGGTCTGGCAAATACAAACGTCCTGCACCTCACAGAAAGCAGCCAGAATGCAGCCTAGTCCGAGACGTGTCCTCTCTGCCCTGCCTCACGTCAGCCACTCGCTGCCCCGCCACCCCTTAGCTCCAGAACAGCCCTGGAAACCATGGCAAGCTGCTATCGCTGCAACCCCTCCCTTAGCAGGCGCTCTGCACTGGCCTGGACCACCCCGAATCCCCCGGGAAACCCACACTCACTTCTCCTTCTTTTTGAGCAGAGCCTGGGTCTCGTCCAGCTTGGTCTGGATCTTCTCCACCCGGTCATCCGCGTCCTTGGACGCGCTGTCAAGCTTCTTCTCCAGGAGACTGAGGCGCACGTTTGCTTCACTCAGCTCCTCGCCCTGCAGGGGTGGCAGGGGAGAAAGCGAAGTGCTCCAGGCCCCTGGGGATGGACAGCGTGTCCCGGTGCCCTGGAGTGCCTGCCCCTGCTCCACGGGTGTAGCCAATAGCCGGCACACGCCACCATTCCCTACTGGCTCTGGGAATCAGCCACCTGGGGGAAGGGCTGGCAAGTCCCTTATGGCTGATGCCACAGGCCTCTGCTACGTGGGCAGCTTGCGTCTCCCCCAAACGGCCTCGTGGTCGCTGGGGAAACGGATGCAAAGGGCTAACAGCTCCGCAGGCAGCACTACGGGAAGTGGGAGCAGTTCAGCAGGCAGCTGTCTACTGCCCAGGCGAAGGGGGCACCCCCAGGTACAGGGTTCTGCACTGGCAGATTAGGGAACAGACCAAGGATGAGCTCACCTTGATTTTGAGCGATTTCTTCAGCTCTTTGATGACCGTCTCTCTGTCTTCCAGCTTGAGTCCCAGGCCCTCCGCATCTGTGATCTCGGCCCGGAGCGCGGCTGCCCTCAGATTGACAGGAGGAGGGGGCTGCAGGGATGAGAGAGGGGGTTGGTCGGATATTGCCAGCTGATGGATTCCAGTGCTTGCTCATGGTGAAAAATGGGCAGGACGCTGCTAAGGGAACGTCCCCCCAAATCTGCACACGACAGGCAATGGCCTGGCTCCCCAAGTCCCTGACAATCCAGGGAGGGCTGGTCTCGCTGGCTGAGAAGGCGACGAACCCCCTTGAGGTTTCACGCGGTAAGGCTGAAGGCTAAGACACACCTGCCGGTTTGTAAGCATCCGCCTAGCTGCACAGACTGCAGCGTGGGCTCCTGATGCAAGGTGCTGGCCCCTCACCCTGCTAACAGCGTCCAAGGAGAGAGCCCACTCCGCCCAGAACACACCTATAAAACCCAGCTACGAGGGGCCGTGCCCATCGGTGTCTGCTGTGTGCGCTGCAGCTTGACCATCCTTGTCAGCACACCTCAGCCCCAGATCAGCGGCAGGTTTTCCGTCTCCTCCCGCCACCCACAGGACCTCAGGACCTCGCCTGGCGGAAGTGACAGCTCTGTTCAGCTGTCCTAGCCCAGCCCGAAGGTGCCCCCCAGCCATGCCCCACCTTGGTCTGTGGCCGGTCGGCGTCGTACTCTCCCTCCTGCATAGCAGTGGCCATCTTGTTCATGGTCGCAATGAGGATATTACAGGACTGGCGCAGGCACTCGTACGGGTTGACGCCCTGGCTGCCGTAGATCTGCAGAGGACGGTGAGAGCGAGAGCGAGAATAACCCCGTTTCAAGGTGCGCTCTGCACCCGCTGAGCCAAGTACCTCTGCTAGGTAAGGCTTCCTGCACTCGCTCCACTGACCACAGGCCTGTGGGGCAGTCGGCCCTCTGGTGATGAGGGGGTAGGTGAGTGGCAGATCTCTACGCTTCAGCGTTAACTGGCTGTCACTCCACCCGGGCTCATCCCAAAGTGCCCAGGGGCTGGCGTGAGATACAAGCCCCTCTGAGGCTAACAGGTATTCGTTCTGCCCAGGGGCAGAGGGCTGTAGGGAAGCTGAGAACAGGGTTCCCACCTGCTCGCTTGCTTTGAAGGCCAGATCTTCCAGCTTCACGGCCAGGAGCCCTTCGTTCTCCGTCAGCGGGGCGATCATCTGGGCCCCCGCGGCAGCCACTTCCTGCAGCACCGCCACCACCCAGGTCAGGTGCTTGCGGCAGTCCAGCAGCGTGTCCGACACCTGGGGTCAGGCAGACACACAGCGATTACGGGATTCGCTCCCAGCAGAGGCAAGTTTCTCCCCGTGCTCGCCAGGCGTCACAGCACTGCACTCACCCCAACGGCTAAGAGATCGCGGAGCGCAGTTCCGTTATCGCTAGGGAGAGGAGCCCAGGCAGCAGGAAGGAAGGAAGCCCAGGAAGCGAACAGGGCGGGGAATTCTTGTCACCACCTGAGCCCAAGGTTCCTGCTCTCTGCACTAGCTCACTGCTTCCCTCATCTCCTTCCTGCTGGCGTGGCTGCAAGCCGGGCTCCTTCCCAGGGCTGTGTGCAGGCCCTGCTGTGACACGGGCCACGTGGGCTCAGGCGCCTTTACCCAGGGAAGTTCCGCTACCGGGACCACATTACAGACGGCAGCTCCAGGCCGTGGCTCAGGCAGGAAGAAGTCAGGGCTCTCCTAGGTCTGTCTTATGCTCTACCCGCTAGCCCCTGTGACTCCCGGCCGCGCCTTCCTCCTCTCAAAGCGAGGGCTCTGCCCCGCAAGGTGGCTCTGCAGTGTCAGTGCCCCAGTCCGCGTCCCTGCTCGGTGTTCTCTCCAGCGTGCTCTGAGCTGCCGCGCCCCAGCCCCAGCCATTCAGGAAGAGGGCCGGGGCAGTCACCGCACAGCCACGTTTCGATGCTCGGCCCAGGTGCGTGTAACACAACACAAAGACAAGAGACCCGAGCAGCGAACGCCAGCAGTCCCAGCCAGGCAAACAAAGACACGCGCTGGCTCTCCAGACAATGCGCTGACTGCACCGGCTCCCCCCCGCTGCGCACTCTGCCTCCGCTCTCCCCAAGGGACCATTCGGGCCAGGCAGGTGACAGCATCCCTAGCACCAGACTGGTACTAAAAACCCCTCACGCTGGCGGGGAGTCACCTGGAGATGAGGTGAGGGAGGGAGAGAAGATGGCACCTGTTGTGCGGGACTATAATGGAGCTGGCAAAAGTGGGAGCCTCCCCTTCACCAGAACCCAAACGATCCTCCCCATCCAGCCTGCAGCGGCCTCCCCGATGCAGCACGGCCTGCTGGGATGTGTATTCTCTGCAGGCTGGGTGGCTGCAATGTTCTGCGGTTCATGGTATTGGCGGTGCCCCTGCGGCTCCTGGCAAGCTGCCAGCGCAGCCCCCGGCACGGGTGTTCAGCTGCCCGTTTCCCGGGACTGTTCGGCGCTGGCTACCCCACCTGCTGTCCGAAGCCGAGTGCCGCGGGTATCCCAGGTGCGTCTGTTCCGGGCATGCGGCGTCTGATCTTCTTGCAGAACTGGCGGATGTCGCTGCAGGAGGTCTCCAGGTCCTTGAGGAGGATGGCGAGGTCGGACGCCTCCTGCCCCGTCTGCCAGGCACATAGAAGGAAGGGGGAGAGAAAGCTCAACACGTGAGATGCCGAGGGCCAGAGCATCAGCTGGCTCACGTCGGCGTAGCTGCTGACTTCAATGGAGCAACGCCAACGTACGCCAGCCGAGGCGCTGGCCCCGAATGCAGAAGGGAACCAGGGTGGCAGGAAGTCGGCTGCTCACCTGCAGGAAGGACCGCAATCGACCCACTTCCACGCCCATGCAGTCCAAGGCACTCTGGGTGAACTGCGGGACAAGCACGAGCGCCATTAGTTCAGGGGAAAGCAGACGAAGCGAGACGACCTTGCCTGGGGGCAGAGCAGGGCTGAGCTCTCTGGGATGACAGGCCGCCAGACCTCGGGGATTCTGGCTCCACAGGGTTATGTTGTGAGGCACCAGGACACAGGTGCTCTCTGAAGGGAGGCCTGGCAGCGCCGACTGCTCGGCTGCAGGTACCGGGCTCAGCGCGGTGTTCTCAACGCCTCTTCCCTGCCCTTTACTCACCAGCGCATTGGCAGGGCCCATCCCACAACACCTGTGTCCTCGCCCTTCCCCCCGGCCCGCCCCCCACTGGGGGGTGAGAGGAGATGGGGGAGGAGCGGGCAGCTGGTAAGCCCAGGCTAGCAGGGGATGCACCACTGGGAAAGAGGCAGGACTGCGTCTCAGGAGGACCTTTTCCAAAGCCCTCATGAAGGACGCAGCAGCAGCCTGTGCAGTGACTCCTTCCCATGGGCCCGCAGCACGGGCCGCACTGCTGCTACTCACCTTAATGTGGTCTGCCAGCTGCAGGGTGCAGTCTTCAGCTTGCTCCACCAAGTGGATGCTGTACAGGTGCTGGAAAGGAGATGGAGAGAGGCGTTAGCTTCCCCAAAGCCCTGCCAGAGCCCCGTGCTGGTCGGGCTTGCGCGGGGCAGCGAACATCGGCCTGCCCCATCTGCACGCAGCCTGCTGGGAGCTGGAGGAGGGCTAACGTGCCGCAGACGATAACACGGCAGCACAAGCACGCTCCCGGGTTTGCCCTTTGGTAACAACGATAGAAACAGAACGGAGTTAATCCAGCAGAGCCACACGCTATCCCAGCTGTCCCCGCTTCCCTCACCTGGCTTCATACGTTTGGGGAGAGGGACGCGTGCTGGGGCAGGGGGTGGAGGACAGCAGGTTGGCTGCAGTAGCAGATGCTAAGGGGCTCTCTGGGATATCTGGAGTGGACAATCAATCAGATACCCCTCTTGTGAAGGGGGCCTGATCCCATGGATTTAGTGGAGATTCTCCTGCTCCAGTATACTCCTCTGTGCTGGGAAAGGGGGCCTGGAGGGGCTGGGATTATGGGAAGTTCTGGGAGGTCTATTTCAGTCTCTGACGTGGGGACATGGCCCTGTGGGATAGCGGTGACGGCTTCTGCAGCCAGTGTCCTAGGACGCCCAGATAAGGGATCCGGGCACAAGGATGGCTAGGCATCTCCCTTCTCTAGGGAGGGAATTCAGAGCACTCGAGAATGGGAGATCTAGTCGTGGGCCAGCAGGGGAACCAGATCTCGGTGTTCAGGAGGCAGAGGGGAAAGAAGGAAAGGTGGTGACGGGAACCTAGTTACTTAGCCTGCAGCCTGGGAGGTTTCCCTGAAAGCAGCAAAGCCACCTGGGGCTCTGCAAACCTCAACCCCACTTCGCTGCTCCCACCCCCTACAGCTCAGCTTGCCCTGGGGCCAGTGCCCGTAGTGCGGAGAGGGGCACGGAGCCGGCACCCGCCTGCAGCACAGACCGCACCTCCTACCTGGTAGTATTTGATAGCTTTGGTGAGTGGCTCCACGTTGACCGTCTCATCCAGCTGGTCCTTGTGCAGCAGCTGAATCAGGAAGTCCAGCGAGCGCTCATGGACACTCATCTCCGGGTAGAGCATCCCCACCTTCTTATAGACCTCAACGCTGCACTTACTCAGGGCCCTGGCGGGAGGAGAAATACGATCAGCTAGCCTGGGGCAAGGGTCTGGGCTCTACAGCGGCCCTGCAATCTCGCGGGGGCTCTAGTGCTGGATGCCCACGCTTGGGCCTGAGGGTCAGAAGTGCTGAGCAGCTCATGGGAGTGGCCGGTGCCCGGCATCCATCCCAAGCCCAGGCCCCCAGGACAACCCAAGGAGCGGGCACTTCTGGTGACTGGGATCAGCAGCACTAGGGCTACGGGGAAGGGCCACGGCAAGAGACAGTCTGTTCCAATCTCTGGGCTCACAGTCAGGCTTTGAGCATGGGCCTAGCGCCGTTGGATGGGCGCCGGGGAGGTTTCTTTGCGTTTCAGTGGCGCGCGTGGAAGGATTCTCCATCTGACCTCGGCAGCAGTACGTGAAACGTCTGAGCGCGGGCTGCGGCACTCGGTGCTTCTAGTGGCTGTTCCCAATCCCATCAGATCTCTGGGAAGGCCTTCCCGGAGCCCAGAGCCCACCACACACCTCCCTCGGCTGCTGTGCTCAGGACGAGGTGCCTCCCTGGCCCTCAGCCGTTCTGGACACGTGAGGGGTTTCCCACGCTCTGCAGGAACGGGGGCACCCTAGGTGCTCTCCTCACAGAGCGCCGGGGATCCAAAGGCTGCGTGCACGGTGCAGGACACTCCGGGGACTCACTGTTCGTATTTGTGCAGCGTTGCTTGCAGGAGGCTGAGCGAATACACTAGCCCCGCAGCAAAGCTCAGCTGCTCCCCTGGGGCACCCCGGAGGCCCGTGCGCTCGGCACAGTTTTCATTCAGCTCGAACTTCTCCTGGGCCTGTTTGCTGATCAGCTCGGCCTGTTCCAGAAGAGAGAGAGAGCAGTCTCAGTCCTGGGCTGCCCAGCACGGCGGCACATCCCCCCTGCTCCCCGCTGCCCAGCATCCCTGCCACAGAGCTGCGCTTGCAGCTTGATACAGGCTCCCCTGGCATTTCACACACTCTGCCATGGGCCTGACCTGGGCAGGCGCCAGCTCACGCAGCTTCAGTCACACTCACGGCTGCCATTTTATCCGACTCAAGGGTTTTTCTTGTGTTTCCATCAGCTTCACTCCCCTGCAGCCTGCCCAGTCAGAGCCTCTCAGCTCTGCTCCCTTCTCTGGGGGGCCCCTGAGACACCAGGCCTGCCGCCCAGGGCCCCCCTTTTCATCCCGGCGATGGGGTGTGCTCCCCACACTAGCCTTGCTGGAGCTGAATTAGGCCAGGTGGGCCCTATCAGCTGGTTTGGCTGCAAACAGGGGAGCTTTAGGCTGGAGGCGGCTAAGCAGGGAGACGCTCCCCTGCTAGAGACAGGCAGGGAGCAGGGGGGCTGCAGAGACGAGTTGCCTGAAGTTACTCCCCGGGAGGAGGGAGTTGAGAGGCCAGCAAACCCAGGAGGTAGGAAAGCAGCTCAGGGAAAGGCAGCAAGGACCCAGCAGGGAGTGGCCCTTGGCTGCTATGTGGAGGTTCCTGAGCCCCCGGGCTCCCCTGTGGCACTGGGAGGCAGTGAAGTGAGACTGCAGGAGCCGCTGGAAAGGGACGAGGATGCTGCTCCTGAGCGAGAGGAGCTGCAGAGGAGATACTGAGAGCATGTACCTGCTGGAAGGGCTGTCAGCCTTGACAGACAGAGCTAATCCCCAGAACCGCCAGGAGGCGGCGCCATCCAGCAGTGAGGAGAGCAACCCATCACAGGACCCCAGCCCCCGTCCTGGCAGACACCGCCCAGAGCCCAGCAGTGCCGCTCGGGGGCGAGAGGGGCTCACTGAAGTCCTGCGGGAGGAAGGGCCTAGCTCTGCCGCACAGCGCCACCCGGGGGCAATGGAGCGGCCCTGAGCACCTCAGCTCAGGCACAGAAATAAGCCGAAGGGGGATGAAAACAAGCCACTCGCTTTGTTCCTCTGCCGCTCCCTGCCCTAACCGTGTCAAAGGGAGAGGTGCTGGTGCAGGCGGGGCGGGGGGCGCGTGCCCGTCGCTACCTTGCAGATGAGCCGGGGGATGAGCAGCAGCACCAGGATGCAGTCGTGGTCCCCTCCGTGGCGCAGGAAGCTGTCAGGCATGAAGGAGGTGAGGAGGGAGACGTGCCGGTTGGCCTGCTGTACCTCCATCTGGCGCAGCTCCATCTCTATGGCCTGAGGAGACAAAGGGAACGTCAAACGGAGCCTGGAAGAAAGGACCAGGAACCGTGTGAGGCGTCTCCCCGGGCGCCCAGCCCGCTCGCTGGCATTACACGGGCGGCGCAGACGGGCCAGTCAATCCAAGCCCCTTTCCACCCCCCCCGCAGAGCCACATTCCCACGGCTTCCTTCTCACTGGTCCAGAGCAGGCCCCGAAGGGCAGGGTCCCAGTCCTGAGGAAGGCAAACGTCCGACCTCCCGGCTGTACACTTGTTACCGTCCTTCCAGCCAGCACAAGTTCACGTCATGGCGCAGGACACGTTTGTGTCACAAAACCCCATTTTCAGGTACTTGCTGCTGTGCGAAAAACGTTCCAGTTTGGGCCCCCGTTTCTCAGAACAAAGGTTACGCCCCTTCCCCGCCCCCACCCGGTAATGCCTGATTTCTCCAGCCGCAACACTCACCCTTCCAGCACCCCTGCCGAGTAGCTACGTGCTCCGTTCTCACAGCCTGTGCCAGAGCGCGCAGGCGTCCCTGGCTAGCAGGGCTCTGCTAGCCCACTAGCCCACACTGCTAGCCGTGGCCTCAATGGGGAAGAGGCGTGTTTCTCAGCAGTTACGCCGTTTTGCAGACTTTTGGGTGCTCTCTCTCACTAGTGACACAGCCCTGGGGGAGGCCTCTGACACCCTCCGAATAACATGGCCGCCTTTGGAAGCTGCCCGAGCACAGGAAGCGATGCTGGACGCTCTCGCCTGCACCGGGGAACACACACACCTGGGTCCTACACACCGACACGCACAGCTGCTCACTGTACCTTCGCATGGGCCTTCGTCTCTGCAAATTTAATCTTGAAGTCGAACATCTCTGGCGGAGGCTGCTGTTGTCTCTCAACAGAAGCTTCTTGCTGGTTTGTGAGCTCTCGGTTCACATCCTGATTGCAGGAGGAGAGGGGAGAATGAGCAGAACTACCCTACCCTCGCCCCGAATACCCCCGGGGGGCCAGGCCTCTCCGTGGTACGAGGCAATAACGGGGCAAGCAAGGAAGAGGAAGGGGAGCTGAGTATCTGGGTGCACTCAGCTGAGGAGTCGCCCCAGCGCTGGGCCTAGCACCAGTTCCCAAGGGGACGCAGGGGAGACTGCTCCGGGCCCAGGAGAATAAACACGCAGGGTGGGGAGGATAATAGATCCGTCTCCCCACCCGCATTTCCATGATGGTCTCACTTGCCTGCTGCCAGCGCCCCCAGGAACCCTTAGGGAATCCCATCCACCTGCTCACGTGGGGCTTCTCTCATACCTGCAGCCCCCGGGACACAACGCAACGCCCACACTTGGGAGCACGTTAGCCCACTGGTTCCCGCAGCTCCCAGCCTGCGCTTCCCCACTGCGGAGCAGATGGGTGGCCAGGAGGCAGCAGAAGCACAAGCAATCGGAGGAAGTTTCCCTCGGAGTAAACTAGTATTCAGGTTGCTCTGGCTTAGCTGGATGTTCTCGGTAAATCCCGTCTAAACCAGGAGCCCAACTCCTAGGGCACCAGCAGCTGGTTCCGGATGCGTTTGCAGTGCCAGCAGCAGCCCCGGCAGGGTTGGGCCCGTCCCCTCTCCCCTGCAGTGGCAGGCGGTGCTCAAGGACTTTACCTGCAGGTGTGCAGTCAGCTCCCTGTATTTCTTGATGGTCTGCTGGTAATCTGCCACTGTCTCCTGTGCAGCCTCCACGCGCTTCTCTGCCTCGCGGACCCGCGCCGTTGCCATGTCCAGCTGCTCACGCAGCTCCAGCTCGGTCTCCCTGGCATTCTCCTGCAGCTCGTCGTTCATCTCGTTCATGGCTTCCTAGCAGGAAGAAGGGGAGGGGGCTGCCGCTACACAGCTCGGCCTGCCAGGCCACAGGAGCGGGGGCTTTCAGAGGAGGGAAGGGGCACAGCTTCGGGGCTGACAGGAGATCAGCTGCGGCCATCGTGCTCAGCGGGAGCTTGGGAGATCAGCCAACCCTGGTGACTTCATTGAGCCTCGCCTGAGCCCGTCCAGCATCCAGCATGGCTCTGCCGTGGCAGGCGAACAGCCCGCCCAGCGCAGCTCTCCCGCTGCTGCGCCCCGTCCTGTGAACAGCCTGGCTGCAGACCTCACGCAGACAAAGGAACAAGCGTGGGTTCTGTCTCACTCCTCTCTGACCCATGGCAGAGAGCCCTGCCTGCTGGGCAGCTTACCAGGTCGCCGACGGTCTCGCGCAGCTCCCGGACCTTCTCCTCCAAGTCCAGGTTTCTCTCGGTCAGAGTCTCCACCATCTCTTCAGCACCCAGCGCAGCATCCACCTAAGGACCCAGGGCTCAAAAGCTTAACCCTGACCTGGGCTCCCACATTCCAACACCACTGCATAAGAATGTAAGATCGACCATCCTCGGTCAGCCCAATGGTTCATATAACCAGTGTCCTGTCTTCCCACAGCGGCCAGTGCCAGACGCTTCAGAGAGAGTGAACAGAACAGGGTAATTATCGAGTGATCCATCCTCTCTCAACCATTCCCAGCTTCCGGCAGTCAGAGGTGTAGACACACCTGGAGCATTGGGCTGCGTCCCTGACCAGCTTGGCTAATAGCCATTGACGAACCTGTCCTCCATTAACTTATCTTCTACTTTTTTGAACCCAATTATACTTTTGGCCTTCACAACATCCTCTGGCAAGGAGTTCCACAGGTTGACTGTGTGTTGTGTGAAGAAATACTTCCTTTTGTTTGTTTTAAACCTGCTGCCTATTAAATTCATTGGGTGACCCCTGGTTCTTGTGTTATGTGAAGGGGTAAATAACACTTCCCTATTGACATTCATGATTTTATAGACCTCTACCCTATCCCCTCCCTTAGTTGTCTCTTTTCTAAGCTGAACAATCCCAGCCTAATTTCTCCTTGTATGGAAGCTGTTTCATAGCCCTCAGCACTTTTGTTGCCCTTCTCTGTATTGTTTCTAATTCTAATATATCTCCTTTGAGATGGGGCAACCAGAACTGCACGCAGTATTTATGATGTGGGCGTACTATGGCTTTATATTGTGGTCATAATAATATATTCTATCTTATTACCTATGCCTTTCCCAATCACTCCTAACATTGTTCGCTTTTTTGACTGCTTCCGCACATTGAATAGATGTTTTCAGAGAACTATCCACAATGACTCCAAGATCCCTCTCTTGAGTGGTAACAGCTAATTTAGACCCCATCATGTTATAGGTATAGTTGGGATTATGTTTTCCAATGTGCGTTACTTTGCATTTATCAACACTGAATTTCATCTGCCATTTTATTGCCCAGTCCCTGTGGCCTGCACTGCTTCCCCCAGCTCCCATTGGCCGGGAACGGTGAACCGCGGCCACTGGGAGCTGCGGACGGTCAATGTAAAAAAACTGTCTTGTGGCCCGCCAACGGATTACCCTGACAGGCTGCATGCGGCCTGCGAGCCGCACGTTGCCCACCACTGCGCTAGAGGAACACTCAATGTTCCAGCAGGGTGAGGAGATGGGAAGAGACACCTGGCTTCAATCCTCACAGCCACTGTGGCCACAGAACCTGGAACATCATGACACTAATACCTAATGTGCTTTTATGCACCCTCCAGTCAGTTTCAAAGACATCTATCTTCTACTGCTTTGCCAGACCTGAGCCCAGCTTTTCCAAAGCTCTCTGCTCTGCTCTGAAGCCCAGGACATGTTATGGGTCAGATTTATCAGAGGCAGAATGGGAGCTCACTCTCTTTACATCTGAACAGGGTTCATTAGTTCTCTCCCTTTGCGTATTATCAAGTGGTGTCAGTGATAATTATCACTCTCCTACCAAGCCAGGATCATGCTAGAGTATCCGTACTGTATCGCCTGCTTCTTCCGCAGCAGACATTCAGTGCCTGCCTCTAGGAAGCCCGTAAAATGCAAAGGGGAGCACGCTGCCTTGTAGTCGATAAGGAACCTTCCCCCAGGGGCCCCCACAACGTCACTAGAACCTCTGCATGACTGTGACTCGCCCGTCCTCCTGACCGCACCATGCTAAGACAAACACGTTTAGGTGGCACAGAATTCCAGAGGTAATAAGACATCGGTTAGACTCTCCTTTGGAAAGGTTTCTAAGACACCAGGTGCAAAGCGTCTCTTACATTCAAGGAAGCAGCCTGCAGCCACGCATGAACTACAGCACAGAGTCCGGCACAGCTCGTGCTGGAGAAGGGCAGACTCTACAGCAGAATCCCCTGGGACTCATTCACTGACACCTGGGTTGCTCTAAGCATGTGATTTCTAAGCAAAAGCCCCACACCAACAGTTCACAGGAGACACCAATTTGCCTGGCAGTGGTTCCCTGACCCTCTTTGAAGCCCCAAAGCACCCTGGGGTTGACTCACCTGCTCTTTCAACTCATCAATGGTTCTCTCTGCCTGCTTCACCTCCTCCTGCAGCTTCTCCTTCTGCTGACGCAAGCTCTCCAGCTCTGAATTCTTCTTCTCCATGTGTTTCTGAAGCTTCACGTGCTCCTGCTTCTCTGATGCAGACAGATCCCGCATCCTGAAACAGAGCAAACACACTCCGAGCAAACGGAAAGGGACCCAGGGACTGTGACCATTCCCTGTCCTTGCCATCACAGCCTTCCTCAGGTGTTTGCAGCCCTTCCAAGTCAGCTGGGCTAGGACACCTGTCCTTTCACTAGCAGTGACCATCCCAGACAGGACAGCTTGTGGTCCCGGTGCTGAGATACTGGGGCAGCCATGCTGAGTGCAAAGGGAAGTCATTTACCCGAGCGGGCTCAGATTTCCGTTCCATGGTAAAGGGACTCCCAAACGAGACAGCTTTGCAGCCATCAGTGCACATTCACTCAGAGCAGAGAAGTTTCAGCCCCTGGATACGGCTTGTAACCTAACTCTTCATGGGAACAGGGCAGATCAGACTCTCGGGCTGTGACCTGAAGAGGCTCGTCAAAGAAGACTATAACAGGTACATTGGTGGGACCATGCAGGGGAGGCTCTCTCCTAGGACACTCAGAAGTTGTCCCTGTTGGGGCTACACAGAGATGCAACATCCGTTTCACAATGTGAAGCAGTTCAGTAGACACCTGGCCAGGAGGTGTGCAGGACACTGCCAGAAGCCATCCCAATCTGGTCACCACAGCAAACACGCACCTTATCAACCGGCTCCTGTATTTAAGTAGCATGCTCATCGCCAGAGTATCAGAAGAAAGCAGAGTGGTTGCTTTCTGCAGCATCTCACGTTCTCTACATCTATAACCTCAGCAGACCCACAGTGACCTATCCCACTTCCTACTCCTCTGAGGTTTAAAAGATGTGCCCGGAGTTAGAAAGGAACTGAGGGGCATTTGGAGGTGTGTCTGTGTGGGACTAGGGGGTTAATACCCTGGCTTGAGAACAGAGGTCCATGGGTCACTGCTTTGAGGCAGGTTTTGTTGCCAGGTGGCAGGGCATGGGAGCTTGCAGTGAGGATCTGCAGAGGTGATATCACAGAGGAGGAGATTTAATAGGGAGGAAGCGTTATACCTGACGAGAGCTTCCTTGAGCCTCGCGTTTTGCTCTTCTAGCTGTTTGACCTGGTAGCTGGATGCAGCCCCATCCGAGCCTGGAGAAAGGGAGAAGCAGAGAGACGTTACCCAGCATTTGAAGGAAAATCAGCTGTTATCCAGAGGCAGTTCTCTCAAGAGCAACTAAGTTTTTAAACCTGGGAGTTGGGAGGACAACGCTCAGGGGGTTAACCCACCAGCCTATCGCCTTCCTCAGCAGAGCAGCCCTCGAATCAAGTGCATGTCGCAAGTGATACAAGGATGGCAAGCGGAGGTTAGTCGATTAGTGCCAGGGACTCAAATTAAGAACTACTGCATGATACGGCACAATCTGCAACCTCAGCTCAGGGGAGCTGCATGGCTAGAACTGCTGGTGCTGCAGGTCAGGCCCGAGGTGCCCTAACGCACAGCTGTACTCTAGGGGTTAGACTAGATGATGCTTGTGGTCCCTTCTAACCCTATGGTTCTATGTACTTACCTGGCTGGAGCCAATGTGATCCCAGTAGCTGCCGCCCCCCCATTCTCCTCCTCCATCCACCCCACCGAAGATCCCACATCCCCTTCAATCTGTCCATCTCCCCCATTCCCCCCATTGCAGCCCCCCTCAGTGCATCCATCTGCTGTCTCCTCAATCTGCTGCTCCTTTGGCAGATGCAGGTTCTGTCTAGTGGGGCTCTCAGGTGACCATTCTGCAGGCCCTCTGCCATGGAACTCGGCTCATGCTGTCGATATTCAATGGCTGCTCACTTCCTTGTCTGTGTATTTTTAACGTCTGCCTTGGCTAGAAAGCCCATTAGGGAATCAAAACAAGGACAAAATATGTGAGATTGTTCCGAGTTTTGGTTTCGATGTCCTGTCCATCGAGGAGCTGAGCAGCTGGTCTGAAATCAGCAAAATGAGCAGACCCTGTGCACTACAGCACGAACAGCTCGTCCCAGAGACGCTCCCAGGAGCGGGCATCCCCTGTCTGGGCAAGGGGCAATGAGAGCTGAAATGGCCGGCTTAACCTTAGCCCCTACGTTCCCTAGTGAGAGACCTGCATTCTGGCAGCCAGACTCCCACTCAAACTCAGAGGTGATGGGACCTGGCGAGTTGCTGCTTCCTACTGACCAGTCTGTGAATAAGGGTCCTACCACTTCCTACTGACCAGTCTGTGAATAAGGGTCCTACCACTTCCTACTGACCAGTCTGTGAATAAGGGTCCTACCACTTCCTAGTGACCAGCGCTGCAAAGCCAGGTAACCGAACTGCATGCAAAGGATTGAAAGCATTCAGCTGGGTGTCTTAGGAGCTATCACAGCAATCCCACAGGGGCAAATCCTAACATCAGAACGGCCAGACTGGGTCAGACCAAAGGCCCATCTAGCCCAGTGTCCTGTCTGCCAACAGTGGCCAATGCCCAGTGCCTGAGAGGGAATAGAACAGGGAATCATCGAGTGATCCATCCCAGTGCCCATTCCCAGCTTCTGGCAAACAGAGGTTTAGGGACACCCAGAACATGGGGTTGCCTCCCTGACCATCTTGGCTAATAGCCACTAATGGACCATCCTCCAGGAACTTATCTAGTTCCTTTTTGAACTCTGTTATAGTCTTGGCCTTCACAACATCCTCTGGCAAGGAGTTCCACAGGTTGACTGTGAGTTGTGGGAAGAAATACTTCCTTTTGTTTGTGTTAAATCTGCTGCCTAGTAATTTCATTGTGACCCCTGCTTCTTGTGTTATGTGAAGGGGTAAATAACGCTCCACACCATTCATGATTTTATAGACCTTGAGCATATCCACCCCTTTTGTTGTCTCTTTTCTAAGCTGAACAGTCCCAGTCTTTTTAATCTCTCCTCATACGGAAGCTGTTCCATTCTCCTAATCATTTTTGTTGCCCTTTTCTGTACTTTTTCCAGTTCCAATATACCTTTTGGAGATGGGGCAACCAGAACTGCACGCAGTATTCCACATGTGGGTGCACCATGGATTTATACAGCGGCATTGTGATATTTTCTGTCTTATTATCTAACATTCTGTGCCACTGCACATTCAGCAGATGTTTCCTAGGACTGTCCACGATGACTCTAAGGTCCCTTTCTTGAGTGGTAACAGCTCATTTAAACCCCATCATTTTCAATGGATAACTGGGCTGTTTTCCAAGGTGCATTACTTTGCATTTATCAACATGGAATTTCATCGGCCATTTTGTTGCCAGTCACCCAGTTTTGTGAGATCCTTTTCTAACTCCTTTCAGTCAACTCTGGACTTAACTATCTTGAGTCATTTTGCATCATCTGCAAACTTCGCCACCTGTTCACAGCTTTTTCCAGATCACTTATGAATATGCTGAATAACCTTGGTCCCGGTACAGATCCTTGCGGGACCCCGCCATTTACCTCTCTCCACTGTGAAAACTGATAATTTATTCCAACCTTTTGTTTCCTCTTTTTTAACCGGTTACTGATCCATGAGAGGACCTTCCCCCTTATCCCATGACTGCCTGCTTTGCTTAAGAGCCTTTGGTGAGAGATCTTGTCAAAGGCTTTCTGAAATTCCAAGTACACTATATTCACTGGATCCCCCTTGTCCATGTTTGCTGATCCCCTCCAAGAATAGTAGATTGGAGAGGCAGGAGTTCCCTTTACAAAAACCATGGGGACTTTTCCCCAACGAATCATGTTCATCTGTTGATTCTCTTCTTTACTAGAGTTTCAACCAATTTGCCTGGTACTGAAGTCAGGCCCACCAGTCTGTAATTGCCGGGATAGCCTCTGGAGCCTTCTGTTTATTTATTTATTTATTTATTTTAAAGCTCTTGGGTGAATCCCATCCGGTCCTAGTGACTTATTACTGTTTATTTCATCAATGGCAATTAACTCCTCAATGGCAAGGTTCCCACTTACTCCAACGGGTGCGGGATGTATCAGTGTAGCTTGGTATTTATGCTGCACTCATCACAGCAATGGGATCTCCCCCACATGTAGATTTACTCCCCAGCCCAGGTTTGCATTAAAACAGGAGACCCTCCCCCAAGGCCATTTCACAGTGGGTGGGCCCTGCACCTCTCACCTTTCTCTTCTATCTCATGTTTCAGGATTTCCAGGTCCATGGTGAGATATTCCACCTTCTCTTTCAGGGACTCCACCTCCTGTTGCAGGGATTCGGCCCGCTCCTCCGCCATCTCCTTGTCCAGAGTTGCCATCTCGATAGCATCAGCCGTATCGGCCATTTCCTCCATGTAATGCTCCTTGGCTTCCAATGCATCTTTGGCTTCCTGCAGGCAGAAACAGGGTGAGGACACCTTGCGATGGAAGCCTGACGGGACAGGGGCGCTACTCAGACTCGGTCACTAGCCGGAACCATTACCCAGCTGTATGGCTCAGATACTCCTGGCTGGGACAGCGTTCCCGTAAGGGGACTGCATGGAGTCAAATCCCAGCTAGTAAACGCTTACCGGGCATGCAGGGGAAAAGGCCATTGCCACGAAAACGGTCTGATTTCTGTTCCACCTCAGCACCTCTTCCCCACTCAGCCCAGCAACTGCACTCCCAACCCCTCCCTCCTCCACCCAGGAGCAGTAACACAGGGCCTGAGAGGCCAGGGATTCCTCCCACCCCACCTGGGAGCAAGGAGAGAGAACCAGTTCCAGTCACACCGCCAGATGCAGGCCTGGTCTACACTAGAGAGTTAGGTCGAAGTAACTTGCCTTATGTGGACCTAGTTCTAAGCATCGACACTAAACTGTCGCTCCTTCCGATGTACGTCACTACCCTGACGTAACAACACAAGCGCTACGCCTCTCGCGGAGGGGAAGTCGATGTAGTTAGGTTGGCACATTGTCAGTGTAGACAGTGTGCTACTTACATCGCCTGTTGCTGCCTTTCAGAAACCATCCCACGGTGCCCCACACTGGCAGCTCAATGGGTGCACGTGCTCCTGGGGAGGACTCACACAGCTGAGCGCAGTGGGGTGTGTAAAACCGATTCAATGACTGTGGTGGCTGTACATCCATGCCACTTAGGTCGACTTAATTTTATAGTGTAGACTTGCCCTCAGATTTAACCTTTGCGTGATGAATTCCTGACTGCGTTGGTAACCAGCAGGTTACATTCTGAAGCATTACATGCAACAGGACACAACTGTTTCATTTTCATTAAGGGCAGTTCCCCAGACCCTAATTGGGGATCACTAAAATCTAAGCAAGGCGTTAACCTGGCAAAAGGCAGGCATGATGGGCTACTTTCTTTGTGCACCGTACAGAAGGCGCCAAGCCCCAGCACTGGCTCACGGGCCAGGGCTGCATTTGCAGTACGGACACACATCAAGCATAGTTTATACCTTTCTTTGTAGTAACGGCATTTCGCCCAGCCTGTTAAAATGGAGCAGTGATCTCGGCTCGTCCCCGCCAATCAAACAAACAGCTGCTGGGCCGTTCCTGGAGGATGGCGCCAGCAGACAGTACGGAGCAGGTTGGCGGCTGTATTAGGGTCTACACTTCTCTTTTCTCTTGACCCAGGCCCCGCCCCCACACCACCCCTTCCCCCAAGGCCCCACCCCCACGCCCCCAACTTCCCCCAGTCCCTCCCACCCACCGAAAGGCTGCACAGATCAGCACCTCCCCCTCCCTCCCAGCGTCCTGCATGCCATGAAACAGCTGTTCGTGGTGGGTGGGAGGCGCAGGGAGGGAGGAGGAGGTGCTGATCTGAGCGGCCTTTCGGCGGGTGGGAGGCACTGGGTGGGTTGGGGGGGCTGCTGGTGGGTGCTCAGCACCCATCATTTTTTCCCTATGGGTGCTCCAGCCCCAGAGTACCCACAGAGTCGGCGCCTATGGCTGGAAGCTGAAGAGAAACTCACTCATCAGGTCCCACCTGGAATCAAGGGAACAGAGCTCCAGAACCAAATACACTGGCTGCTAAAACTTGTGATATACAAGGTGGGTGAGCGAATATATTTTATTGAACCAACTTCTGTTGGTGAGGGAGACAAGCTTGGAAAACGGAAGTTGGTCCAATTAAAGATATTACCTCACCCACCTGGTCTCTCTAATATCCTGGGACCTACACGCCAAAGGCGTGTGATAGCGAGGGGAGGGAGGCAGGTCCATTCTTACTTTCCGGGTGAGGGTCTGAGAGAGGGGGCACTGGAAGAAGAAAACCGTCTCCCAGAGGGAGTGCACTGAGTGCATGCATCCGAACATGGCCAAACAGGAAGCACCCCATTAAAATGCGATCCTGTAACTAACAGCGCCAGCATCCCGGATCTGATCGGAGGCTTGTAATGTGTTTAACTGATTGCCGGATGGAGCTCAGGCCACAGCATCTCCTCTCCTCCTCCTCTAAGGGATCTGGCTGATTGACTAACTACAAACAAAATCTGCCCCCTAGGGCAGATGAAAGAAAAGGAGGAGGAAAGCGTTGAGGACAGTGTGTGTGACTGGAGCCCGCTGCACTTTCCATGGTTAGAAGGAAGAGAAGGGGGGACCCCTGGGCCCCTCCGGGATGGGAGGGAGAGGGGAGAGGCCTAATGGCCACCGCTCTCCAGAAGATTCCCATAGGGTCAAGGTGCTTCCATCACGAGCCACAAGTGGGAATCTGCAGACGCCCCTGGCAGAAGGGACACATTATACAAAGCACTGCTTGGTTAAAGCTGGGCAGCGTGGCTCCATGACAAAACTCTTGTCTCAGATATGGGGAGAAAATAGGCCAAAATAAACCACAGGAAGATGCCACCAGGATAATGGGCCCAGCCATATTTAGCGCCTTGTACAAATTAATTCAGCACCGAACGTAGTTTCCTTCCGTTTGGCTTTTGCATTCTCAAGCCAGTACAAGAGCCAATGTTTGCTGTGTGGTGGTCACAGGTTGCTTTAGGGCCCACATCTCTTCAAAAGACAGGATTTGGGGGAGTTCCTATTTTTATGCTAGTGGATGTATCAAAAAATAAAGTAAGAACTCCCCAATCTGATTTCCAACAATTAAATAGCCTTGAATTTACTGGCTCCCTTGAGGTGTCATTAACGTGAGCTGCACAGCTCTGGCTGCTGCCACATGCCCGCCAGGAAGATGCTCACCTTTTTGGCCTCCTTTAGACGTTTCTGGAGGTCAACCTGTTGTTCCTGCATTTTGCTCTTCCACTCCTGCACCTGCTCCAACTGGATCTTGTATTTCTCCAGCTCTTTCAGCTTTGCTTTGTCTTCATTTCGCTTCATCTTCAGAGTTTCCAGCTTCTCCTCCAGGTCTCTGACTTGAGAACGCAGGTTCTCCTCCTCCTGCACAGCCAGGGGAAAATGGGAGGTTACTCTGAGAAGTAGAGATGTCATGTAACAATGGAGCAAAGAGTCCTGTGGCACCTTATAGACTAACGGACGTATTGGAGCATGAGCTTTCGTGGGTGAATACCCACTTCGTCGGATGCATGTAACAATGGATTTCTCCAAATACCTCTAATTTAATGCACAGGCAACAAAACCTTCTAAGTCTGACCCAGTCCTCAGAATTCAGTCAACCCTTTTCCAATAGCAGCATCATTAAAGGCCTCTTAGAATAATTTCATTCACTTTGTTCTTCCACTTCCAAAGCCTGTATAATGTTTTAATCTCATTGAGTTTCATTTCACCCACTGTACATGGTTAATACTTCTCGATGTGCCGAGAGATGGCCTGGCCCTCAAAGGAGCTGTGCACCTGCACTTCCAAGTGACTTCAGTGGGGTTTGTGGGTGCTCAGCCCTTCTGAAAATCAATAATGTACAAAATTAACTCATCTAATTCCCCTCTCCTGCCCCTAGGGGTCAGAGTAATGACACATGCAAGGAAAAAGTGTCTCCACTAACAGGACTGGAGCTCTAATGTGACAAGCAATGGGATTTTAAATGATAGCATGTGTAATGGCTAATGCTTTAAGGCTTATTTAAACGAAGTTTAACAACTCGCAGACACACGCAAACTGTGCCCACTGTAAACTGGAGAGTTATCAGTTGATGCCACGGGGTTACTCTACTGAGTGTCAAAGGCACCCTAATCCTTTCCCATCTCTCCCCTGTCAGTCGCTCCGATACGATGGGGCGGTTACTATGCCAAAGGGGGTTAAGCACGGCTAAGAGAGATGGTGTACGTTGGATTCTGAAGGTTTTGGAATCATGGCTCTGGACACTTTCATCTCTAGAAGGAAAGGCTCAGTGCAAGCACACGTGTAATTCTTCACCCAGGTAGGGATGGAGCATGGCCCTGATCTCTCGGCAAAGTGACAGTGCCATAAAGGCATCTCCACTCTGAACCACAAACTAGCCATTGCGTCTGACTGCAATGCCCTCTTCCAGGCTTTTCTAACCAGCGGGCTCTCCAGAGACAAGCAGGTTAGATCTTTCCCACCGAAAGATAATCCAGGTAACCAGCATCAACAGGAAGTCACTCAGCTCTGTTAGGACAAAGTCACTGGCTGAATTTGGGCTGTACCAGTTGGGTTTCAAAACCCAGTTCAAAGACATCCTGACCTTTTACAGGGATAGCCCACAGAGGGTTCTGGTGCCAGCAAGCAACACTCCATCTTGATCTGAGCAAAG